AGAGAGGGAGGGAGGGAGAGAGAGAGAGAGAGAGAGGTGAGAACAACAACCTGTGAACATCAATCAAGGCTCAAATTACATATTTTTGGAAGTGTAAACTGGCCCTAATTCTCATTGACACACACAACTGGCACATGATCACCACACTCTAAAGGCTGGCATAGTATGAACTGTATGTGTACTATAGTATCAAATTTAGCATATCAATCATCATTATCATTATACTGATTACTGATTATGAGTAATCTCTCTTACTGTAAAAACACTCTGTACTGGATAATTCTCAGAACTGTAGCTATCGCTCGGGCTGTCCAAAGACCCATATCCTGCCAGCTGATTACATACAAAGGAGCAAGAAAATAAATCTTTAAAAAGCAACATTGAATATGTTAATATAAAATGATTTAATATTTTAATACATTACATTCTAATACTACTTATCTTGATATGAAGTACATGTATGACTAGAAAATTTTGGAGTGCAAAAATTCGACTATTTGCTTTCGACAAATTTAATTTTGGCAAAATTTTGACCACACGCATTGCCACAGAGTGTTGCTAAAATTGTGAATGGAACTCATTTTGCAAAATTTTCCTTGCACAAAATTTTCCAGCTATAAACTATATTATCTATGCTATAACAATAAAGAATTATATTTAATTATGTAATAGATCATGAGCTTACGCGGTTCGATTCTCTTGTTAGTGTTAGTGAGTCTGTGTTGTTAAAATAACAAGATATTATGACAATAACCAGGAAAATGAAAATAAAACCAGTTAGTGCATAATAATAATAATAATAATAATCATAAGACACACACTCACTCACTCATTACAGTATATACAAACACTGATAGTTTTCTCATATGATAGAGCTTACCTACAATTGAGCCTTCAAGCAGCGAAGTGTCTTTATTTTTATAATTCACAGTAGCCATTTCTGCACAAATCCACCACTATAGGCGTGGCTTGCCCCGCCTTGATTAATTAATTAATTAACTAAACTGAGTGTTATTAGCACACGTGCTGCCACGTGGGTACTTTGCCCAGCTTTTTTTAAAAAGGACAAATTAATGGGATCAGGAAATAAATAATTTATAGTCTTTTAGTCAACAGTTCAGTGACGATTGTCATCAGGTCTTGGTTAGGTTCTGGTTGAAGCTGAAGGAAATCTTGTCCCAATTGAAGTGAGAGCAATTCTCCTTCCGGCAGGTCATCAAGATCTGAAACATGAGCTGCACCAACGACTCTAAGAATAAGAAAGGAAAATATATCCTATTACACAGTCAAATATATATACCTCCTTATTAGCTCACAGCCAATAAAACCACAAGTATCACGAATGAAAGAATCATCAGTAACAATAGTGCCCCCTGCTGATTGAGTGTAGCTAGTAATTGCAGAATGGAGACCTTCAGTTTGTAGCAGAGATGCTGCTTTACTATTTTTGAGGCAGTGATGGTGCAAGATTGAAAATATGATGTTAGCCAGGAACGTTCCAAAGTCAAATGTTGCAGGGCCCATGAATGCAAACTCGAGATCAAACATCTAAAAAGGAGCATTTGTTAAATTTAGCTAGAAATTCAGGTTTGCTTTTCCAAGAAATAGAATTTATATACAGAATCAATGTGCATACTGCATAGGGCTAAAACATAATGTTTGGAGCCAATTTAACCAAAAAAACTTAAGGCCACTATACACCAGGCAATTCTATTGCAGGCAATCTGTGGTTACTTTGATGTTGCAAGCAATGTGTTGTCTAGAATTGAACAGGTTTCTATTCTAGGCAACAGTGTTGCCTGAAGATCAAAGTAACCACTATAGCATTGTCTGGTGTATAGGGGCCTTTAAGCCCAAGATCCACCAGGCAACTTTGTTGAAAGCAGCAACAATTTTGTTGCCTGAAATAGAACAGTGTTCTATTCCAGGCAACAAAGTTGACACATATCACAGCAACCATAAAGTTGCTTTCAACAAAGTTGCTTTCAACAAAGTTGCTACAGTGGATGTTGGGCTTTACAATGTCATTTTCAGAGTACCATATTTATACTATGAGCTGATATCAATGTACTATCATACCTTAGCATCATTGCCAAGAGTCATAACAGATCCAGTATGGAGATCCCCGTGGCACAAACACTGACGAGCCTCTAAAAACAGCTTCTTCATTGACTCCGCCCTCTGACATGCCTCCTTGTTAGACCTCAACCTCTGAGCCTCTTCATTGAGGAGTGGATGGTGTTTATTCGTGTCGTCTTCGTGACGATATGGCTTGACAAATACATAAAGCTCAGTGATGGAGACCATTGCTGTGTTTCTGTAAGAAATAGGCAGCAAATGATGTTTGATCTATATCTCTTTACTTGAAAGTTTCACAAAATGTCTTGTGTTCGTTATCTCCAAGAGATTCCTTAAGAGTCAAGCAGTGAGCAGCTCCTATGGCAGTCATGACCTTCTCAATAGTTTGAGTATTGACCACGCCTTTGTTTAGATCAGAGCGCATTACTTGGTATCCGGAAAGATCTTGCATTAGAACTAGCAAAGGAAATAATTTATATTAATTTAATGCTAGTTTGATTGGGATCAACTCAAACTTAATGCATAGCATAAGAACATGCAGTAACTGGATGCGTCAAAAAACGCTGTAATGCATTATATAGATACAATAGTTACCAGCACTCATTTCTTTGTCATAGAAGAAAGGGGCAGGAACACAAAATGGCTGAAGCTTGTGAAAGCGACACATTGTCTCGTACTCTAACTCAAGCCTTGACTGGGTTAGCAAGTAGGCTGGACCAAGACACTAAAATACAACAACAACAACAACAACAACAACAACAACAATAATAATAATAATAATAGCATATGCCCAAAGTAAAACATAAACATGCACATTTTTAATGAACTCACATTTCAAATTTGATTATAATTAACTATTATAAAAGCAACTAAGTTGCTATTCTCCCAGTATTTTCTATGCTCTCTCTCTCTTACTCTGATGTATTCAGGTGCAAATTTAATGACAGCAGTGATCTCAGATCCATCAATGCTTGCAGGATCCTCCTTAGCAGGGCCTAGCCATATCCTGTAGACGAAATTAAGATTTCCGTCTCCGATCTCTTCCCATTTCAGCAAGGAGAGGTCCTTTTTGTCTATTTTCGCTTCCAGGAGCTTTCCCAGAGCGTCTGGGAGTTCCAGGGAATGCTTTTGAACGAAAGAAGCAACAGGGAACTCGGAAGCCATTTTTGCAAGAAACAGGAGGAGGGGCTCATTATTAATTTTTATGAGCCCCGGCCCCTCCTCCTCTTTCTTAATAAACAATGGCCGGAAGCAAAAGTTAGGACTAGGGTTAGTTTTATAATTTAAAATGCACAAAAACAGCTAAAAGAGAATATACAAAAAGATTAAAACAGTGTAATTATCATAAGTGCATCAATTATTGTAATAGTGTCCATATTACATGATAGTAGCATCAATTTCTGTTGTGTGTTCTGATGCAGCAACAGTTTCTAGTTCATAACGGTCGTGCTGCTCCTCTTCATCAGTGTCATTATACTTTGTTTTTATGCTACCTTTTTTGCCTTCAATAGCATCAGACAGCTTTTATAAAATAGAGAAAGAAAGAAAGAAAGAAATATTATGATCAAATAATTTAGACATTAGTATAAAAAGAGATATGACTATACAGTAAAATAAAATATTCTTAACTGCCAAGATAGATTAGATATACATGTATGTACATGTACTATTATTCATAAGCAAATACATGTACATATACATCTACATAATTATACTATCTGGCTTACATCAGTTAGTGTGACTACCCCGACCAGTTTACCAAGACTAGTGACATAGGCATGAGAAAGAGTGAGGAGTGAGAATAGACTGTGAACCTAAAATAAAGGAACAAAAATATAGTAAAAAAATAATAGCATAGAAACAATTAAAATTTTACATGTACATGTACATGTACTATACATATTATGAGAGAGTTTAAAATACCAAGAACGTGAAATATGTACATGTACATGGTATGTACATGTACATGTACGTTATAAAACAGTATACATGTACTTTTGTTAGTGACGTCATTTCCACTAGTTGGAATGGAGATGGGTCTATCATAGTCGAGGGGAATTCAGCTCTTTGTGACAGCTGCTGCTCTTCCAATCGAAGTAAAAACTACAATGTGTTAACGAGACACAATACATGAATGTCAATATATCAAAGCAATAATTATATTACAACAAGTGACATCACACATAAAGTTATAAAAATAAAAATTCCCTCCAACATGTAGTCATTTTTGACAAAATATGTTAGTTAGCTGCTGCTGTACTAGTATTTTGACAAAATACATGTATGCCAGGAACTTTGACCAAACTTAAAGGATGTTTTGCAAATCTACTGAGAAGTGCATGTACATGTAACAAAGTCCTACTGTGTATTTCTGTCTTAAAAATGGAGAATGTACAAAATTGCACATGTACAGTACAGCTCAGCTATAACTTTACTTATCGTACACGACACTAGTGCAGCTTCTCTATACACTCAATGCACACTAGCTGCGCCTCGTGCTGGAGATCACTCGTGTAAAAGTAAAGTTATAGCTGAGCGGTACTGTATATGCATACATGTACATGTACATAAGGACGGCATATTTAAATATCAGAAAATAAATGCAAATGCCTACTTCACTTGATTCTGACTCAGATCTTATGATATATGTTAGATCCTATGAGAGAGAGAGAGAAACAAATAGAAGAGAATGAAGTACATGTATACATACATGTACATATACAATAAGTATCTTAGATTTTCATTACAGCTACTAATAATTGCGATTAGTAAATTATTGTTAACAATTACAAGGCATATTCAATTATTACGTGTA